TCTAATTAACAAAACTTCCAAACCACCACGGTGCACATTACAATCGATTTTCGGTTTAGATTTTAAAACTTCCATTTCTAATCAGCACAATTCTGAAAATGTTTGTTCCGTGGAATCGTCTGTTCCAAACAGTTGAAACACCAGCTTTATACCCGGAAATCCTCACTGATTGTGACACGTTTAAGTCGTTTGGATTAGTCATTAATCATCCATATATTGTGCAGCAAGTAATTGTCCATAGTCATACAATATGTGAATTTCACTATCCATTAACGGAGATCAAAGTGAATTTCGACTCTTTTTAAAAGAAAGAAAACCATAAAAGTAGGCACATATACTTTGTATTGATTTTTTCCTTTGTGGCAACCATTTTAATATCATATACAATGATCCCTTTTAGAAATATTGAGACTGTATGACGATAAAAGGATGAGGTAAATGGCTGGAGTACATCACAGCACCTGATCGAGTTTTATTGTAATTCGTTGTGAGAAGAGTCAAGTTAAAATTCAACACCATTTATATTTAACAATTATTTTTCAACTGTTAAGTGTCCAACTCGACAAAGAACAAGGTTTTACAAGATGTTTCCATTTATTTCCTCCGTAGTATGTGTTCATTTTCAATTATACCTCACTTTCTAATCCCACCCTCAAGTACCATTGAGCAGTTTGTTCAACATTCGGTTTTTAAACAATGCGATACATTCAATTCAATTCACCTGATAAAATTATTTATTGTTGAATTTTAGTTTTATCTTATTTTTCATAAGTTTATAAAACATAACTGTTATAAACATAATTTACCTAAAATAAAAATTAAAGAAAAATGGAAAGCTAGAAAATGTTGGCGGGAATTGAAGGACGCAACAAACAAAATAATACTTAACAACACTTAAACTAAAACGAGACGGCTATCTGGAAAACGTAGCACCACTTAAAATATCGGGTTACGGGTGGTACCCATATACCATCAATAAAAAAAGGTATAGTGTCCAGACAACAAAGCATATAATTTTAAAAATTATCTGGAGTATTTAAGTCAAATACATCATGTGATGCATTATGTGAGGAAACATTTTTTTGGAAAATTATTTCACCTCTCAAATTTGAAACTGAACTACATACTTGACTTAACGACATCTATTTACCCTTGTATTCTTATACACGTTCCGTTCTATTTACCTCAAACACTCTCATTGCCTGACATCAGGCTTCCCAAAACTACGGCGGTTAAAGTAATAAATGTAAATTTGATCTTGTTCAAAGCGCTCATTTCACTCACTCATGATTTTAATATTGACTTTCTGTTCTCCTTCAACAGTCATAAAGAATGTTTCTCGTTAAGTTCTCATAAAGAATGGTTTTTATATTTATTAAACTTATGCCGTTTGGCACTTAGATCGAATAGATTTCTGCTTTACAAGGAGCTCGATCATCCAGAGGTAGTTTTACACTTAACCAACCATTAATAATCACATGTTAACCCTAATAATTTATGTCGGTTCTTTAAACATTGATGTTATTAATTGCTCATCTAGTGAGAGATGATTTTTCAGGGAAGAGTTTCATTTTTGGGCTGGATGTTTCATTTTTTAAGAGTTTCTGGTTATCTTTTTGGGGACACTTTGGATGCCAAATTTAATTTACCTAGTTGGTCTAACTCGGTTACCTGGTTTTTAGCTGGTTGATTGAGTACTGGAGTACCGCACAATTTCGTGGGGCAGTTCCATTTTTAATTTTCTACTTCAGAAGCAGTAATATTTTAAATTATTTTTTTGATCTTATTGTGTGTTTTAATGTAAATATCTTCCATTCCAATGAATTTTTTTTGTCAGCACCTCTAGCAGACGGATTATTAGATTTTTTTTAACTTCATTTATTTGTATCTACAACTGTACATGTATTTATACAACCAGCAGATTGGATTTCAGATTATGTGTTTGGCATTATGGGCATTATAGAGAAAGCTACCATTGGTGGCCACTTTAGGTTAATAAAATGTTATTACCATTTAATATTAATTATTATCCATATTGTTTTTAGACGTTTACGTACTAATTGTGGGAAATGGAGTAATCGTATTTGTGTGTTAATGTGATTTTGTAATTTAGTATGAAAACGTTTGTAATAAGTTTTGATGGATGAAAAACCTTTCGGCAGGTGAAAATCTCTGTGAAGTGTGTTATTGTTTACATAAAAAGGGGCAGAAAAAGTAGTCTTAAAATTTTGAATTGAAAAGTTTGTAATCTTTGAATATTGGAATATTTGGACGATCCATAAACTTGGCACATTCAAATAGGTTTGAGTAAGTATGTGTATATCGAAAGTTTTGATTTTAATGGTAATTTTGATTGGTCGGTTGTGTAGGTAATAAACAATTTTAAATCGTTTGATCAGTGTCTGTTTTTAATCGTGTATGTAGATTCCAAGCTAGTCTTCTATCAAATGTAAGTCCTAAATAGTTAACAGTCGGATTGAGGAACAGGTTCATTGTACAAGTATATGCTAGGACAAGTCTCACGACGGAGTGTAAAGGTGATATGTTGTGACTTAGAGGGATTAAACTTTATTTTCCAAAGATTGCTCCATTTTTCAATTGTTGATATGTGGTTTTGTAACATGAGTGAAGCTTGTGTAGAAGAGAGATCGCTTATTAATATGGCGGTGTCATCTGCGTATGGGACAGTGAGTGTATTCTCATTTGTGGGCATATCAGAAGTAAAAATTGTGTACAACAGCGGAGCGAGTATTGACCCTTGTGGCACATCTGCAAGCACTTCTTCCATCCCAGTGGTCTCTGTATCTTGGTTCACTGCGAAAAATCTTTCTGTAAGGTATGGTTGTATAATCAGATAATATACCTGAGGTAAAAAGAATTTTAATTTGTATAATTATCCCTCATGCCATACTTTGTCGAAGGCCTGAGAAACATCTAGAAACACTCCAGTCGCGTACAGTTTCTGCTCAAGACACGAAATAATGAAATCAGTCACTATGTGAAGTTGATGAGTGGTGGAATGATGGGTTCGAAAGCCAAATTGGTGGTCTGATAAGATGTTGTTCGAAGTAGCAATAGAGATAATTCTATTGTAAATTAATTTTTCGAATAATTTAGAAGGAACGGGTAACAAACTAATAGGACGATAAGAGGATGGGGAGCTTAACTTTTTATGGGGCTTTGGGATCATTTTAATGTACGAAAGTTTCCATTCTATGGGGAAGTGTTAAACGAATGCAAAATAATGGAGGTTTTTGATATTCCGTAAACAGAGGCTACAATTTAACTTGAACAAAATGTATTTAATAGAAATAACTTCCATTACTATCTATATATTTTTTGCACAACCAATGCATTAACCACAGAAGAGAACTAGGACCTGAACCATTTCTCCCATAAAAAGCTGTTGTGATGTTTAAAAAAATGAGAGATTATCTGTAGGAGAAAGATCCGGTGAGTATGGTGAATGTGGTAAAGACTCGTAACCCACCTCATGAAGTCAGGCCAGAGAGTATTCGATACTTTTCAGCAGTGATGATTTCACCCGGATTGAGGAAGCTGTAATGAATGAGTCCTGCATATGACCACCACACAGTGACCATAATTTTTTGGGATGTAAGCTTGGCTTTGGGAAGTGCCCTGATTTTTCACTCTTATCCCGCCACTGTCTAGAACGCTGTCTATTGTCGTATAAAATCCATTTTTCGTAACTCGTTACTATTCGACTGAGAAATTGATCTTTTTGTTGCTTACGGAAAGCATTGAACAGATTTCCTACCTGTCATCCTTTTGGCGGGCGTTCAGCTCATGCGGAGCCCACTTGGCGAGCTTTATCACTTTCCCGATAGCTTCCATATGGCGATCAACTGTGTATTGGTCAACACCAAGTTCTTCCGCCATTTTTCGAGTAGGTTTTGTGGGGTCAGCTTCAACTATAGCCTTTAACTGGTTGTTGTCAACACCAAAAGGTCGGCACCACTTTCTTTGCTCATGAGGTCATAATCTCATTAGGTAAATTTGAAAACAAAGCCGCACTGTGGATTCATTTATGGTTCCTTGCATTAATGTCATTAATGTTTCGAGCGGTTTGTGCTGCACTTCGAACAAGTTGAAATTCATCGAAATAAATTTGCCGAAAATCGTTCTTAGTCATAATTTTGTTTGAAGGCAGAACAGACTGAATTAAATGTTCTTACTAAAAGATTGTAAGAGAAATAAAGCGAGATAAATAGGCTTTAAATTATGTGTAACCCTTAGCGTAATAGTTTTGTTAACATAATTGGTATTAAAATTAAAGCAAATAGGGAAACCTGCTTTACATTGCATTAACCCAACACATTTTTTCGTATTATCCACATCGCATCGTCAGCATTTTTCCTCATTCATCATCAATATCATCGCCATCCTGTTCATCGTTTGATTGTCGTTTTATGAGGGACTTAAATTTAGTCATTTTAATTTTATTTATTTTGAATTCGGATTTTATTTTTATTTATTCATTTTGAGTTCATAATCGTTTATTTTATTTTATTCGAGATGAGGATAACAGGTTGAGAATTTATTTTACTTTATTTACTTGAAGTTGAAATCATTTATTTATTACATAAAATTATGTTGTTTTTTTAATCAAAGAAGATTTGTTGATTTATACCTATTTATTTTTAATTGTAATTTCATTGTTTTATTGTTTTATTTTTAATGTGTTTTCCGTCAAGGTTTATGCTCGCTTTTACGTATTCGTATCGTAGTGAGAAAGAAGACCGGCATTGATAGAAACGAGATCGGAGGTTTTGCTTGTCCAGAAGACCCCTCCTCCTCAACAATAATTAAGTATTAATCTAATTAATTGAGTGTTTAATCGTTGACTTTTGAACGTTCTGGTGAAAGTAGGTTTTGTTTTTTATCTTGTCTTTATCTTAAAGCATTGATTATGACAATGCATACGTTGTAGTTACCATATAATTATTTTACGACAACCTATGCTTCTGTAAATATGAATATACACTTTTTAAACCACGTTTTATCTGATAAAAATTGATACACAATAAACGACATGCACAGCTAAACGCTTCTCACTTTTGAAAAGTGAAGAAAAATATAATTTTTATGTTTTAATTTCAACATTTTTTCTTCCCTTCGTGAGTTTAGTTCATCGTTTCCACGGCTTTGGTATCGGTATGCTGTCGAGGACGTTAAGAGCTTCTAAAAATAAAAATAAAACATGTCGGTAAGTACACAAATTTTTGTTAAAATTATAAAAATAAGTAATTCTCTTCATTCATTTAATATTTGCAATCTTAAATAATAATTTTCATTTTTAGAGTATGCCCTCCATCAGTTCACTTTTATTTTTGATATTGTTAATTTGATTTCGATATCAATGTTTCTATGTAAATTCAATAATCTAATTAAGCAACACCAAAAAGGAAATACATTTTCTAATCGAATGGAGGTGGCTAAAAATTATACAGTACTAGACTTTTTTCATAAGTCGACTGTATAATTACATTATGACAATTTTATAAATACGAAGGGACCAGAGTGGTTAGGGCGTCCGACTCGTATTTGCCAGGATAACTGTTCTGGGTTCGAATCCCGGCAGAGCCCATGGTTTTTGTTTTCACAGATTATAGCATGAAAAATGTACTCTAAAGTGGGTTTGTTGTTAAACTGTTCGCAATATGCTAATGATACAGTTTAGTAACGTCATAACGTCCTCCGCCTTTTAATCGCATAGTTAATTAGCAAGATACAAATTCAATTAAAATACTCACTCTCTAAAGCATTACTGGCAGGCATTACTATGTTTGATACTATATGTTGCCCGGTGGAAGTGAAATATCCCATAGCTCCTACGCCGAGGAAAACGCTAAGGAGGAAGGCAGCGTAGGCCTCGCTTTTTCTGAATTTTTTTGGAACAGGGACGACGAGTGGGTCGCCAGATTGACTAGGCGTACTTCTAAAAAAATAACCATTAGACTTTGTACACAGGGTGTGAATTGTTATCCCCATTTACCGAAACCATTTGGACGAGCTTTCGCCTTCCAGTGTCAATGGACACGGGCGTATTTCATCGATGTCGAACTCGGCCCCGGGTAGACCTTCAAAATCGAAAGTCCTCAAATTGGACGATCCCGATGGGTCCGGCCGGCTAATCTGTTCCTCCTTCATAACGTCCGAGGCGGATAGAAATTCTTCAATCTGCTCTTCTTCCTCGCTTAGCCTCCCTTTGGAAGAACTGCAAGGTCCTCCGCTAGATTTGTACTTGATTTCGAAAGGCCAGCGGGAATTGCGAACCCTCACGGACTCGCAACACCTCCGTTGGGCGACCTCGTCCCGTAGGAACTCCTCCTCGCTCTTCAGAGTGTCGTCTAGCGGAATATTGGGAGATTCGTTTCTTCCGGCAAACACGTTATTCAATAACAGGTGAATTATATGACGGGCGGAATCGCTTGCCCCTTGATCCTGCTTCTTCTCGTTTGTTTCCGGTTTTAGAACAATTTTCTTGCAAGATTGTGTACGTTTCTCTGCGTTCTCATGAAGGTCGACTCTCGACCCGAAATTTACGTTAGGCTTCGAAGGTGACCTCAACGTGGCTGAAGGCAACAAAGGCTCAGATGATACTTTTATATCAGGAGAATTTATATTGATTTCTTTAACAAAATTTTCTTTTTCCGCGTAGCTGTATTGAACGTTATGAATTTTTGAAAACATTTCGGATCCTTGAGAACTCACGGGTACTTCGTCTTTTATTATAGTGAAATATTCTTTATTGGATTCGGACTCGAGGTGGTCGGGCATTACTTCAACTTCAGAAGAAAATTCTACTGACGATCGCTCTTCACATTCCTTTTCCTCGTTAATCAGACTGTCTTTGATAGTGGCTTCAATTTTTTCACTTTTATCGCCTGTGTCGTTTTCCACTTGTACGATATTGACATTGAGGATGTTTCCCGAGTAGATTCCGTGCATTGTAGGCAAACCAAAAAGAAACTCGTCTGACTTGATTTTTCCCGTGAACGGGCAGAAGGAAAGCCCCTCTTCTTCTCTCATCTTCCGCGTTAGGGCCGTTTCGATGACTTCCAACACGGCAGTGTCCTCCGAGGTATTCTTCATCACCGACGGTTTACTAGCATCCGAGTTAACTGGCTCATTTTCAACTACGAATAAATTTGAATTATTCCTATTTTTCTGGATCGACTTTGGCGTTTCTGATTTTTCCTCTTTGGAAGTCCTCGAAGGCAATGATTCTGGCTTCGCTCTAACGCATTCCTTATTTTCCTGTGCTATTTCTGCCTTCATTTTCTCCCGAATGGATATGACCTTTAAAGATAAACCTTTCGTTGAAAAAACGTTCAGTTTAAAAACTTTCGGTTATCACTACAGTTTCACCCTAAGTTATTTTTTGTGACGGAACTGACATATTTATGTATTGTGGGATTTCTCTGTGGGGTTTGCGAATCGATGAACCTATAATTTGATCGTTTCCAATCATTTTGGTCCCCTTATCATAATTGGTTTGGTTTGTTAGACTCGTTCAGCACTTTGCTAACTTCAGTGTCCTGCCTTTTTTATTTTCATTTTTTCGCTTTCTTTGTACATATTCCAGAAAAACGAAAGAGTAATGCCGGCACAAAACCTACTCCATAAGACACAAAAGAACCGAACCTCGTATGAAGTAGACCAAATTAATGTATGAAACTACATACTCATTACAGACAAACTTTAATTGCTTAAATTTAATTGAGTGTCCCGTGAACAGACAGAACAAAATACATATTTTAGGACGTTATCTTACATGATAAATAGGTCTAAAGGTCCCAAATAAATTGTTCAAAGCTTGATTCTCAATTATATTCTACATATTTCACTTTTCGTATGTCATTATAATAATCTTACTGTAATTTTGATTACATCAGTGAAAAAGTAATTAAAAACTAGATTCATTTTTGTTGTATGTTATTATCGGTGTAAAATTAACGTCTCACCATTAAAATAATATCTTTTGGACATATGAAAAAAAGCTTCTAACAATACTTACAGACAAAATTTCAGATTTTCATTCTCCATGAAGATTGATATTTTAGACATTTTAATTTTAGAAGGTTGATTTTTTACGTCCAATTAATGTACCAAAAAGTTTTCTGTTTACTTTGCATTACTTGTATTATTTTTTAATAAAAGATTCAAAATCCTAATGACTGATTTCTTTAAACCATTTGTAACCGAAATTAGATTTTTAGACAATACTCGTCAATTTTACGTAGGTGATAACTGACCTTTGAGATATTAAATAATGTTTACAAGCTCATTTGTAGGGGCACTGAACCAAGAAAATCTTACTTAAACTTAAAACAAGTACTTTGGAATTCGGAATAGTTCATCTTCTAACTGAATTTGAGTTTTTTTTACATAAGTTAAAATTAATCTCATAGGATTTTCAATGCACTATTTATTCATGTACTCCAATTTAGATTGAAATAATTAAAATTTTAAACGATGCGGGGGGTTTTTGGAAAAAAAGGTGTGAAAGGTTGACGAGGAACCTCAAAAGTGAAATATCGTGAAAACAATTGGGAATAAAACTTTGGACAAAGTTAGGGACTTTGCCTAAGTATTGAAGTATATTCACGGAACACCCTATATAAAAAACGTTAAGGTACAGTTTTGGTTGAAATGAAAAAGTTAGTGTCAAGAGCGGGATTCGAACCCACAACCTTCGGCTAAATACGCCGCTGCTCTAACCATTTGAACTATTGTGACTTCGATCCACTCGGACACCAAATCCCGATATCAACCTACAACCATTCGAATTTTCCCTCTTTTTGACATTTTCTAATGTCGTGTAGTCAGGATTCGATTCTCGGCGACATAAGAAGTGGCTACGGGGAGCTATTAGTGAAGCTATACTTCGTTTTATTTATTAAATCCATCCACGCCGATGCTCTAACCACTCGGACACCATTCATAAAAAGATTAAGTAATTGAAAGAAGTAATTTGGTCAATAGACCGCTAATTATGATGGGTGTAATAAGGGAAACGATGTATAGCTTCACTAATAGCTCCCCGTAGCCACTTCTTATGTCGCCGAGAATCGAATCCTGATTACACGACATTTAAAAAATGTCAAAAAGAGGCAAAATTCCAATGGTTGTATGTTGAGATGGGAAGTTGGTGTCCGAGTTGATCGAAGTCACGTTGGTTCAAGCAGTTAGAGCAGCGGCGTATTTAGCCGAAGGTCGTGGGGTCGAATCCCGCTCGTGACACTAAATTTTTCATTTCAACCAAAACTTTACATAAAAAGATTAAGTAATTGAAAGAAGTAATTTGGTTAATAGACCACTAACTATAATGGAATGTTAAGGTACAGTGTTGAACCGCCTTTGTGCCATCTTCAGTGAGGAACTGTCTCTTGCGTTGTCCGCGTAGGTGCTTATATACCGTTGGGTCCGTCGAGTGTAACAAGGCGGTTTATTGGTGACCATTAGTATTAATGTCTGTTATAATTGGCCTCTTATTGTTTTTTTTAAACTTTTTTGTTATATTTGATGTTGTTTTCTATTGATCGTTCGCGTTGTGTTTTGTAGTGATTTTAGTGGTGTGACAGTAGAGTGTGCATGTGAGTTTGTGCATTTATAAGCTTCCGTCATATTATTTGTTTATATATTTCCATATTTACCAATATGTTACGTTTTCGTCCTTTTTCTTCGTCATGCTTGTTTCTGTTGTGTTTAGCTCATGATTATGATGTTTTAAGCCTGTGGCGTACTTTGATTGTCTCTGAAGGATCTGAGATAATGTTTGTACGGATACTTTAATTTTCATTCAGTCTGTCCAATCACTCTAGAAGGTGGGTTGTGTTTTTAATAGTTTACCAGTGTTATTATTAGTACTTAGTGCTATTTTTAGCCCGATTTGGCTTCATAAGTTTGTTGTTTGTTTATGCATTTTGCTGTCAGAATATTGACCTTTTTAGTTGTTTGTGTTTGTTTTACTGTTTATAAGGGTATATAAGGACCTGCACGAACAACGAAACAGACAATTATTCACTGAAGATGGCACCGACCTGCTCACCTACATCGTGAGATGCGATCTGGGGTGACGTAGGTTTAGAAACGCATTTTCTTTATCGTGCCAACGTTTCGATCTTTAATGAGATCATCTTCAGGGCTCAAAGTGTTTGTTTTCTGTGTAGAGGTGTCATTATTGTATGGGTGTTGAGAGTGCCAGGTTTTATTATTATTATTATTTTATTGCAGTATTGTTAACTAGTGTTTGTAAACATCAAAACTAATAAGCAAAAAAATTCAATCTTATTAATTACCTTCGTAATAATTATGTGATTAAAAATTAATTTCTAATTTGATTTTTGAGCGAGGGAAGAATGGAATTTTTATTCATTCAATTTAACATAATCGTTGGTAATGAATTATCAGTCCAATATTTATTTATTCCAATTAATTATTCTTTTTATCTAAGGCCTTGGTTGAGATGAAAAAGTTAGTGTCACGAGCGGGATTCGAACCCAAAATTTTCTTCAAAAATGGCAAAAAGGGAAAATTCGATAAAAAGAATAATTAATATGGTTAATTATGACCACTATGTAAATATGGATTGATTTATTCAATAAAGTACTGCACGTGTACCAAATTTGTCTGGCTGTCTTAATTTTTTAATTAATTATAAATGTGTGGTGATTAGTGACCGTTAATCGATAATTATCCAGAAATCGTGAGATGCGGTCTGGTGTGATCTAGGTTTCAGAAAAACATTTTCTGTATCGTGCCAACGTTTCGATCTTTATTGAGATCATCTTCAGGGCCTGGGATTTACAAACATTGTTTACATTTGAAAAATAAATTTAGGATGTGGAAAAAAGTGAATTTATACAATGCAAAATATACATATTTTTTTAATATTCAATCGAAGTATTTCTACTCACTCAAAGTGTTTTTCTTCTGTGTAATTGTACCACTCTTGCGTGCCGTGTTGAGACATCACAAGAATTGTCAATCATCAACACGACACGCAAGAATGGCACAATGACACAGAAGAAAAACACTTTGAGTGAGTAGAAATACTTTGATTGAATATAAAAAAATATATATTTTGCATTGTATAAATTCACTTTTTTCCACACCCTAAATGTATTTGTCAAATGTAAACAATGTTTGTAAATCCCAGGCCCTGAAGATAATCTCAATAAAGATCGAAACGTTGGCACGATAAAGAAAATGTTTTTCTGAAACCTACATCACACCAGACCGCATCTCACGATTTCTGAATAATTAATTATAAAAGGTTATCTTAACAATAAATGTTCCATTCTTAAGATTAAGATTTTTTTGGAATTGAGACATGTGATCGGATTAGATCGGAAAAAACAAATGTCAAACGGCTAACATATAAACAAAAATTTTGTCTTTCTCAAATGTAATCGAAAAGATATACCCTGCGAATCCGTTTCTTCACTTCGGCGTGTTTCTTAACAAGACTTCTGTCCGTCTTGAGACCTGAGGGCGCACGATTTCTTTCCATTTTATCGTGTAAGTTCTTAAGTTTCATTTTCCCTTTGATCTGCCTTTCGATCATGGCGAGGCGAGCCCTCTCGTTGGCGTAGACGATCGGCGGAAGGTTCAAGTCTCCGATTCCTAGCTTTTTCGCTTCGTTCATCAACTGGTTCATCCGTTTGGGGACCGACAGGGACCTCTTGTCCTCGGTTTCGACTTGCACGATCTCTGAGCACGACTGGTTTAATATGCGCAAGATCTGCTGGATGACAAGGAGCACCGCTTCTTGCGGTCTCGGATGAACTGCCTTCATCTCCTTCTCGATGCCGGACGTCTCGATGATCTGCCTCAAGATATCGTTCATTTCCTTAGTTACGATTACGCCATCTTTCAATAGGGCAGACTCGAGAGTCTGGATTTGGGAGAACTGCTGCTTCGTCATCCGCTCCAAGACGGTCAACGCGAGACACTCAGCAGCTTCGGATTTGCCCAATTCCTTGAGCCGAGATGCCGAGATTATCTTCTCAGCGCTGTTCGCCTCATCCCAAAAGGTCGGTGAAGAAAGCTGCTTGTCTCCTTTCCTAATTGATTCGCGGTTTGTACGATTCATCTAAAACAGAATTGCCCTCGTCAAAACCCAGTTATGTTTTCCTTTAGAAGATTATCATCTAATAAAGCTGGCTGCCAGTTGTAAATTATATTACTTTGGTAAACTACCTCTAATTTTAACTTATTTTTATTTTAACGTCTATGGAGATTTGCTTTATCTGAAGTTCATTTTTGTGAGACAGGTTTCGTTTCCACGCCACCGTTTTCACCTACGAATCTAATAACATAAATATAACACATAGTGACAAGTATTCTTGGAGAGTCACTAAAATCTAAACGCCTGAAAAAAATATCTATAAATGTTATAAACATTTTAAAAATTTATTTCATCTACCAAATTAATTTTAAAATTCAAATTCGTATATTACTTGTTAGTGCAAAATGGAAATATTCTGTTAGATTTGGAAATATCAATATTACTAGCACCCATTATTTTTACCGAGATTCAATCAAATAAAATATCACCTTTTGTGGATCAAAGAAAACGAGGCTATTAATCAAGGTAAATGCTTCCGAATGGCTTTTACTATCTTTAAGTCTTTTATGGACTTTCTTATCATTCTTGGGAGTCTTGAATTAGATTCTTCTCATAAAAAAAACTACAATGAGACCAAACTTGTGATTTATTACGTTTTCTTTTTATGAACGTAAGACTAATGATGAGTACGTCAAGAGAAAAGAAATTTAGCTAAATTAATTATTTAGCAAAACCGTCAATTGACAGAACCAAAGATGACAAAAATTATTTTTCTTTTAATATATGGTTTTTAAGCTAGATTTAAATTACTGTCCTCCTAGCCCAAATAGGGGTTATTAACATGCTTTTACTATAAACATTCACATTACAATATTGTCAATACGCTCTAATAAAAAATAATATTAAGAGGCAAACCCAATTTTTGGGGTATAACTATTTTTCCTTATCGTTTCGTTAGTTTTAGAGAAATAGTTCATAAACTACTAGATTATAATTTAAAAAAACAACAACATTGAATTGTGTTGACTGAGGATTGCCGTACGTCCTATCGGCAAAGCGGTGTCCTCTATGTGGAGAAGGGTCAATACAAAATATGTAATACCTGAGGGTGAACTATTGTGTGAATATCGGAAAAAGTTCTACATAACCACTGCCGACAGAAAAATATTAGGCCCTAATAGTGACTGCAGAAATAAATTATTTGCATGTCTGAAGTTAATATTAGTGTGAGTGTGACTGTATTATTAACGAAAATGGTTGAATAAGTGTTTGTTTGTGTTTGTGTGTACGGGTCTGTGGCGAAATGTAACAATGAACCTTTTTTACGTGCTAATGAGAATGTATACACAAAAGGATAATCATTTTCTTTGTTTTGAAAGAATGACAAGTTTATATTAAAATTCAATTATAATTAGAGAGAAAGCTGTGAAAAAGATATGACGAAGAGCAAGACAATAGAGGCTCGAATTAAAAATGTAGGAAGTCTCGACAAAACATTGAAAAAATAAGGAAGGGAGAGAAAGGCTATTGAGAGAAGAACAGAGAATCCCATCCAGAAAGAGATAATGGCAGACAAAGTGTGGGACTGAAAGTAAGAGAGAAGAAAAGAAAGATGTAACAATAATAGGAAGAATGTAAGAGAAAAAGAATAGCAAAGAACTACCCTTAAAAGCAAGTAGATAGAAAAATAAGAAAAGTAAGAAAGAGAAAGTAAAGGCGCTAAGCTTGAGTGTGCGTGTATGAGTGTTATTTTACTAATTTTCCCAATGGAATAAAAAAAATAAAAGACATATTGATTTCCATCCAAGTTTTTGCGAACAATATATCCATGAAAAAATTATCGCAATAAATATAAAATTATTGCAATATTCATTTGTCAATAATCAAAGTTAGATATTGACAGAAAGATTAAGGCGGATATGTTATTCTCATTAACCTGTTCTCCGAGATACATATATCTCAATGAATTATGAAGTTTTATACTTTGAAATTGGTAAATCTTAAATGACGTGGTGCGAAAGGTCCTTAAGACAATTTTATTTCATATATAATGTTTTCTTTTTAAGGTTTTTTTAAATTTAAAAGTTAATGTTGACGAAATAAAACTTACCCTACAAGATGGTCATAAGGAAGGTTGCTATAAAACTTAATTTTTGTTCCAACGAGCTTTCACGCCGATTTTTCTCTTCCTTTTAAAATTTCCTTCGGTTTCCGGGGATCATGATTTCAATGGAAACAAGTATCTTAAGGGAGGAAAGAGCTAAAAATTTAGAAGTTTGAATCTAACAATTATGGCACTCCCATAACAGGTGAGTCGGTTTCTTTTTAATTTTGACCAGATGATCAGATCAAAACATCTGTTCAGTGATTTTTCGTGAAGAAAAACCTGTTTTTTCCCAAAACAAAAGGTGTTGAGGATTTGGCATTAATTGTGTTTCGAGGAAACATGGACTACAGGCTCTTTGATCAATCATAAATCTATGTTCATTGAAAAATTAAATATTCGTCAAGAAATACAAAAGTTCTAAAAAAATTATAGGTTTGTTGCTTGAACTTGGCATTAAGTCTATAGCTACTGCAAATCAATTTGTTTGATGGCAGAAAGAAAATAAGAAATTATTTTGTAAAAAGGCATTGATGAACTAACCAACCAAAAAAACGAACTTTTGAAGGTGGGCTACCATATTATGTCCAAATTGATCAGTTTCATATGACAGGCAAAGTATATCAAATTGGGTTTTGTATAGTTCCGTGGTTCGGAGAAAATAGTGAAGAAATGTAAAAACATTTTTAGTGTTATTAAAGCCTACTCAGACTTTATATATATATTATAGTCAACCCGTAATTTAAAGTAGGCATTAGTTCCACAAAAAATAGATCTTGTTTCCTATGGCACATATATAATGTCATATATAATCCTATGGCAGATATATCCATTTTCATCGTCCCTAGATTTTTTAAGATAAAAATAATCGTTCTGTGAAGTGATTTTTTAAATTTACAATAACTTATTTACATAAACAATAGGTACACTTACAGTTGAGCATAGAAGTAATCGAATGGTCTAATAACAAATTCCCACTCACGAAAGAGAGAGAGGAGAGAGAGAGAAAGGGAAGGAAAGTGAGAAAGAGAAAAAGAGATAGAAAATGACAAGGAAATATTGCTCATATAATTTGTAAGCAATTTGACATTTTTCTTCCCAAATTCTGCACTTATTTACAATAAATAATTCGAAAATAGATAGAGAAATATTATACATCTATCCAAGCGTTCTTTACGATGAGCTCTAGGAGCCGAAAAAAATATTTTAGAAAATTTATATAATAAATTGTTTTAGTACATGCAAATACACTGACAGCAAAAAATTCCGCCCACTTGTGGTAATATAACATCGTTTATATATATTTTTATATATTAATCAAAGTTTCACGTTTTTTAACGTTTAATAATTGATCTCAGTCTCAAATCATTTAAAAGTTTAAAAAAATTAAATTGCTAGGGGAAATGAAAAAATTAAAAAATTAAAAAGATGGACAGATAAAATTTGTTTAAATTTTGTTTTAGATTTTTCATTAACATTTCAATATCGCGTATTCTTCTTGCCTTAATTACTTCTCGAAGTGGCCTCGGCATACCAGCCTGGAAATGTCTCTTTGCTGGAGGTTAGCCCATTCTTCACGAAGAGACCTTTCAAGATCGTGGAGTGTATCAGGAAGTGATGGACGTGCTCTTATTCGTCTTTTGGCGTTATCCCATAAATGTTCGATGGGGTTTCAAGTCTGGAGGACGGGGTGGCCACGCTAAAACCCTGATGTTATGTGATTTAATCTTCTTCCAGAAATGCGTTCAGAAATTTGGACATCTTGAACTTCCTGGAGCTGATAAATCAACAATAGGAAGGTGCCGGTTTCGCAAATTTTTCAAAGTCAAAAAACGGCCATCCTGTTGTTCTGTTACCCTAGAGCGTCCACGGCACTTCAATGGTAGGACCCATTTCTCGAAAACGTCTAATGGCGTCTCGCAGTGTTTCGTGGGGAACACTGATGGCAATAGCCGCATACCTGACGGAACATCCAGTGGCAATTTTAAATTTAAAAATTGAAATTAATAAAACAAAGATGAAAACTAATCAGTTTATTGGTTCAGAATTGAAATGAGACTGAATAAACATTTTAAATTTCTTAAAACGTAAACATTAAACAATTCTTTATTCTTGTTTTGGATTAAGTGTGTTTACAACTAATTAATATTTCCAATGTAAAACATAGTATAAACAAATATTTATTGATGAAAACAATAAGACAAATTAAGGATAGAATTTTCTTTGCTCGATAAAATGAAAAAAAAAATCAGTTCGGTTGAATTTTTTGCCCTTCAGCCCCCCCTACAATGCACTGATTCCATGTTGTCAATAATTAATTGCAGTTAAGTGATATTATTCTTTTCATCTAAGGTTTTTGGTTGAGATGAAAAATTAGTGTCACGAGCGGGATTCGAACCCACGATCTTCGGTTCAATAGCCGCTGCTCTAAACGCTTGAGGTATCGTGACTTCGATAACTGAAATGGGTTCGAATCTTCCTAGTGACACTAATTTTCATCTCAAATTAGATAAAAAGAATAATAATTTGAAATAATTAGTATGCTCAATTATGGGGGTGTTTGGACCGTTTTGACAAAACTCATTAGCCTCATGATATCGCATTTTCGACAGCAAGAAATTTTATAGTTAAAGTTACAAAATTATTTTAAAAACTTACTTTTAATACTAAAATGGCTACTACAACTTAGAAAATTGAAAAAAAAAAAAAAAACAATGGACAATTATCTAGAGCAACTACACTAAGGTCGGAAATCAATCCAGTAAAACTAGGCCAAAACCCAGTAGGCTCCAAATGAGCCATGCCACTTTCTGTATCATTGGCCTACCGAAGCCTCTTTTCGGAACATTATATTTTCTCAGAATTCCAGAGAAGCAATCATTTAAATGGTAACATGGGTTGAATATAAAAGAGAAATTTTATTGGCAATTACTTAATTCTTTCGTTTTACGGGAAACCCCTTTTGATAAAAACAATTAAATCCAACTTTCATGGACTGAACACTCTCTGCATTTATAAACTTGTAATCTTTAAAAAAATTATTTTCATTCACTTGATTTTGATGTTAGTATGACCCACTTATAATCCGTACAATGATATTTTTGTTGAACATTTGCTTTAGTTTCTTTTCATTATAAACAAGAAATAATTCCACTCAATTTGAGTTTATCTTTTTCTTGGTTTACTTTAACTAAGGACAAACGCTCAATAAATTAACAAACCTGACACAAAAAAACACTTCCAGGTATATTTATTGAAGCAGAAACGGAGTTTCATTATTAATCAATAATATAAAGTGACTCAAGTTCAGAAAAGCGTTGAGACGGAACGACTAAGGAACTCTAGAGTTTAGAACAAACTGCGAGAATAACTGGACCAGATATTGACGCCAGAGTACAAGCATCCATTAAATCGTTCAAAAAGAGAAATTACCCTGTTGAACCTGCCCTTTTATAATACAATTAATTAAGGTTTTTAGTAGAGACAAAAAAGTCAATGGCACGAGCGGGATTCGAACCGACGATCTTCGGCTAGATACGCCGCTGCTTTACCACCTGAGCTACCGTGACCTCGATCCACTCGGACATTAACTTCCCATCTGAACCGCACCTTTTGAATTTTTCCTCCTTTTTGGCAATTTTCAAATGTCGTATAATCGGATTGGATTCTCGGCGACAAAATGAAATGGCCACGGAGAGCTTTAGTAAAGTATACTTCATTTAATTCATTAAATTCACTAATTTCGTGGTCCGCTTGACCAATTAATATATTACAATTAATAAGGTAATGTCCGAGCGGATCGAGGTCACGATAGCTCATGTGATAGAGCAGCGGCGTATCTAGCCGAAGATCGTGGGTTCGAATCCCGCTCGTACCATTGACTTTTTATCTCGACTAAAAACCGTTCATATTTTCTTTGGTGATTGATCAGCCTTTTCGGTTTAAATATATTTTTTTCTTTCCAAAAGGTAGATGGGGCCTCATTCCCAATCTACCTTTTGGAAAGAAAAAAATTCATTGACATTCATGTCTGTATACGCGAATCATCCTCCAGTGAGTATCTCATTACTTCGGTTCACATCAAGTCAGAAGCCCATTTTTGTTCATCTATATTTTAATCGTAGATTAAAGATTAATAAATTCATTCTTGGTCAAGGGAGTAACCTTTTTATTCTTTTTTTCACGTTCCATCTTTCGTTTCATTTTCACCGTTTCCATTTTATTATTCGCTTCAGGAAAAGGACCTCCAGGGATAGAAAAAGCTGACAACATTATAAATATTTGTGCAATAATTGGTAACGTTTTTATTAGAAACATGGTACCTAGACAGGACTGGATATATGGACTCTTGGGGAACTCATTTATTTGCTCTGTTAAATAAAATCAATGCCACCGTCGAGAGAATGGTTTCAAAAATGCCCGCTCTAGAGAACACTTGAAAATTTGCAAGGAACTTAGACACGATACGGCATTTTTTGACTTAAAGAAATGTAACTATAAAATTCGCTGTGAGGTTTTACGTTCGGCGTCAGCATTATGGAATGAGCGAGGCTAGGAAAAGTAATCTCAGCAATTCGCCTGCTGTTGAGCATGTATTTCATTTAGTGGCCGATTGGTCAATATTGAATGAGATGCGCTTTGCAAATGTTGATGCGGTAGTGTTGAAAAGAGTAAAATTCCTCCAAATACTGAATGGATTAGGTACTCATATCTTGGTGCAGTATGCCTGGCATGCTTGAGATATCTGTACGATTTCATGTTAATTCTCACCATCATTTTAGTGTAATATTAGTGCAGGTGTGTGTACCCATTTTACTTAAGTTTCCCATGTATTTTTATTTAATGTGTTATTATTTTTTACATTCTATTAAAAAAATCTTTATCATTGTAAAGAAGAGTAATTTATTTTGGGAAAAACTCCAGCAGACGTTTTTTCTATCCAAGCTGTAATGATTATGTCAATTATGTACAGATATATCCATAAAAGTATGTCTATCTATCTATGTCTGGAGGGTAACGAAAAGATGGCGAGACGGCTATGGAAAAACGCCAGAATCTCCAGACCTAACCATCGCGATCTCTCTGACACTAAACCTGCAATGAAAGGTTGATTAAAAGAAAATGGCAGTATCGGTGGTCTGGATGACACAATGTATCAGGAACAATCAGGACAGTTGCTTCTCCGGAAGAAGTGTATTCCTCACCCGAATAAAGATAGGACATGCGAGGTTGACACACGGACCTCTTGGGCCAAAGCACGCGTATCTGTCCGCCATGCAGAAAAATGTGTTCGACGTGTTCCAACTAATTGAAGGGTGCAATTCCTTGGTTCCATATACACAACACGTAGGAATGCCTCCTTGTAATATAGTACTGATAGCTTTATGTCCCTAACGGGTGTTGAGAGTGAATGTATATATTGGCGTGAATGAGGGGTGTTCGATGGTCGATGGCGAAATATTGACTTGATTATTCGTTATATAAAATAGATGTAAAGGGTAATGGCGGAATATCGAGTAATCGAGTGCGTGCCTGGCCTGCCGATGGTTAGCTCCTGATAGCCCATGGAACCCGACCTCAGCGGCCGGCTGTACAAGATCTGCGAATACCTTTAGTGGGAGATTCTCAAGGCCTGTCGGTACTTTATTGTATACAAAAGCTGGAAATTCCAGCATGCTGCTAGAAGTGACAGGCTCAATTCTACACGTACGTAATATGTACAGATTTGAGCTTATATATGTCGGGGAAGGAAAACGTCAGTGCACCCGCGGGAATGACATCAACAATAAGCAGAAAAGAAACCCCGAAGGAGGGGAGAGAACAGAACAAAGGAGAGAGAGGAGCGTCATTCCATATACGTTGGGAGTACCTGAAAGTTGTTTTTCCATCCTTGTGTCAAGTTTCTAATTTTCTAAATTCTAAAAGAAAAATAATAAATTGTGTGTATAAAGTACATTAACTCTTTTTAATAAAGTACATTAATTCTTTCAAATGAGTTCCGAAATCGAGGAGGGAGAAATCCTGTCTACGGAGCCCTCAACCCGTTCTTCGCCGAAATATAAATAAAATTGGCATAATAAATATAGTAAATAGCATTTTAAGTCAATGTGTTTTAGATTTTTGCCCATAAATCCTATTCAGTGGCTATGTAGGACGACCAAAAAGTTCTACTTCAAGATTTATATATATATATAATTGTCTGCGCCGTGACAGGTATATTGAAATCAGCTTTACACCGAATAAGAATGAAATATAATTGATCAGACTTTTAATATGAACAATTAATAAAATGCAGGCTGACATTAAAACGTTACTATTGTTTATTATCTGTTATTATCAACATTTGTTGTTAATGAAGCTAAAATAACCTGAGATAAGGCGATTGCGAATTTTTTGTTTGTGAATCCTCACCAATATTGGGAATATACGGGCGAATCAAAAATACATGATGAATTTTCAGGGTGTTCATTTTGTCTTAACGACATATTTTATACATCTATGTACAGATTGACATCAATGCGACGTCAAACTAATCGACAAATAGACATGATGTATATATATTTTCATATTTTGATACAACAGTGTCGAGTTTACCAATTTACGATTTACCATAAATATTAACATAAAGAATAGCGTTATCTGTTTTTTATTATATGTTTATTTTTATAGTAACAGCGTCCAATCTACGTATGATTAAAATAACAATTTACAACATTCTTTTCGTTACTGTAAAATTTTTGACAAAGAAATAAAGTCAAACAATACTGAAAAAGAATTGTACATCCATTTTCGTCAACTGAGTAGAGTTGAAATAAAAATGTTAGCCGCAAAGTTTAAGATCAACAGAAAATCTCCTAGCCTTATTTCTCCCCTAGTTTCTGATTTACTAAACTTTATACTCTGAGACTTCTGTCGAGTGTTTTATAAAAAAAAGCTCTCATGTTGACCAAACCATTGTCGTGAGAAAACTTCTCTTTTTTTTTAATTTGGCCTTTGGTCTTACTGCTACCATCAAACTTGAAAATTATATTTTTTGAAAATGATTGGTTGATATTTATCTGACCACGAGTTCCCACTGTGCGTACTAAATTAGATTTTTATTGGTTATTTTATAGACGCCCCTGGTTAAATTTGGCTTGTATAAACATACATAGATGTGTACTCACCGACACAGAATTCGCACATGGGCCCGAAAATCACATTGGCCCTATTCTGTTCTCCTTGGTGGCATTGATTCGCAGTGACTGCACGCTGCATCGCCAAATCCGGCTCACATCTGAAAACCCATCGCTCATAAATATTCCCATATTTGTTGAAATTTTAATTTCATTGGCTTACTTGTCATCTCTGAAGACGAATTTGAACTGGTACGAAGGAAGAATCGACTCGGCCGCTGAGGACGCGAGATGAAAGACGGCTTTCGTTTTTTCGATCGATATTAGGTAGCTGTCGTTCTGAGGGAGGATGACGAAAGCTGTGATGACTTCAGCTGATGAACCGAGGACCCAGAAACAGCAACAATAAAGGGGCACGATTACCCTCAGCATCACCTCACCTGCAGAAAGCATAACTAGTGACAATCATATAATCAATTTTAGTGTAGTTTTCTTGGTAGACTAATTTTTCCAATAATTAAAGGGCTTTGCATCATCTGGAAATATATAGAAAACTTCATAACTATCAAAAATACATCGAATACTGGCATCGCCTTACCTGCTGTAATCCAATCTTTTGGTAATCATGTAATGGTAATTTTCCAGCATGTTGGTTCTTCATTTGATTAAGAAGCTTAATGTTGGTTTATACAAAATTTTATTACGAATGCGCGAATAACCAACTCACCTCACTATTTGAAATCATAACTACTAACAATCGTAAATAATAAATTCCTTTGTATAAATTTCCAGAACGATGTTTTTTCGCATGAATAATGAGCTTTGGCAATTTTTACAAAACATTTTAACTATCCATCAAAATGTTATTTAAACTGTTTTTTTCATTTTTACATTTTTCTACTGCCTAATACTTTTAAATGCAAATTGTAGAAACAATGATTATAGTGTGTACTTAGTCATACCAGATCCACCCTTTGACTTTGTAATTAGCCTAATTGAAATGTAGTAATTTCCTAATAGGCTAATAGGCTTGGTTTTGGTGACATTATTTGATCTATAGAATACTGAAATTATTACAATTATTTTTAAATAATTGACGTTTTTTTGTTTGAACTAGAGATGCTTACGTTATAATGGAATATAAATAAAGCAGGGCTTCATTTTTTCTTCGCCTTCTTCTTCTGCGTATAATCGGCACGTAATATTTAAAACATCCGATGCCCACCTGGTAAAACTTTTATCGAAACAATTTGTTTGCAAATCCAGATGTCGTCGGAATAAAAAAGCGTAATAAAGCTTTAGGCTTAGGGCCATTTGGACCTACTTGAGGACTGGCACCGACCGGAATCGATTAGCCAAATAGACTGGGCATTCGTCATTTAAAAACACTCCATATGGGTTAATTGCTGAAACCTAAGACCCACAACTTCCAACCCTGCCAAATTTCTTAACGATATGGACTATACCGATAAGGATAAGGGCTGACATCGACGAGCATGGATGTGTGCGGACGAATAATACAAAATTAAAATAGATTTTCAGAACTAAAACACAACCTTTGTTGTTTTAAAAACAATATTACATTTTTAAAATATAAATTAATGGTTGTCCAATTCTTTCTTACTGAGTTTACTTAAATATGACAAAATTTTTCCTTAAAAACTCTGCAGATTTTTGAGAACATGAGATCCGGTCATTTTCCTTAGGGGCTCCATCTTGGAAGAATAAGTCAGTGTCCGTTTTGAATATAAATATCATTAAAAACTTATTAAAAACGTGAATATTCAATTTCTTTTGGAAAAAAAACAGTTGGTCATTTTCTAGTCACATTTCATATTTATTCATTTCTTTTGAAATTTCAGTCATGTAGCTAACCGATATTCCATTGAAAGCTCGTCATTATTAATTTTCAGTTGCAGCAAAGCCTCATGATCGTTTTTCTTTAGGGGCTCTATCTTGGAAGAATAAGTCAAGGTGCCGTTCTGAATATAAATATCAATAAAAACTTATTAAAAACGTGATTGTTAAATTTCCATTGAAAAAATACAGATGCTCATATTCTAGTCACTTTTCATTTTTATTCAATTCTTTTGAAAATTCAGTCATGTTCAGCTAATATTCCATCAAAAGCTCCTCGTTATTAATTTTCATTTGCAGGAAAGCATGCTTGAGTAATAAAACGTTCTAGGCGACTTAATAAAATTAAAAAATGGAAATTAAATCGTAACGAACGGATATATTTGTACTTTAATAGTTATCTGCACTTAAAATATAAACTTTAAAAAATGTCAATAATTAAAAGACTATACGATAACATAAATAGAAACAACGTAAAAATTGCAAAAAAAACATAGTGGAATGACCAAGGTATATAAAACTACTCTCATATTTTAGAAATAAAATGGAACCTCTTCCCCTATTAAAGGGGTTCTTACTTACTTAAGTAATACGTTAGTAGTAGTACATTGGAATAAAGACCAGACTACTATCTTTATTTGTTATATTTGTATTTGTTGTATTTGTTATATGTTTATTTTACCCTCGACTGATGGGAGACAAGAATCGGTTAATACGCCAAGCTCGATAACATGAATAAAACGGCTGTAGCGTCAGAAAAATGAATTTCATAATAGTATTAAAATATGAGGAGAAAAGCAGGTGAGGCTGGCGATGATCAATGTAGTTTAATAGGTTTCAATTAATTAAGGTTTTTAGTTGAGATAAAAAAAGTCAATGTCACGAGCGGGATTCGAACCCACGATCTTCGGCTAGATACGCCGCTCTTCTACCACTTACTTCGATCGTGACTTCGATACCTACATACTATTCGCATGTTTTAGAAATAAGCCGAAAAAAGATTATCATGTAACAACATACAGAAACTCTCTTATAATGAACTTTATGACGAGTATGAAACTAAATAAAATGTAATTACAACCCGAAAAAAAATAAATAAATATGTAAATAGACGTACGTAATGGACGAAACCACTTTTATACAACTACTCGCATTTTTAGAAATAAGCCGAAAAAAGATTAGCATGTAACAATAACATACAGAAACCCTCATATAATGAATTTTATTACGAGTATGAAACTAAATAAAATATAATTACAACCCAAATAAAACAATAAATATGTAAATAAACACAACAACCAACAAACACGAAACCAGGTTTCGCTTTGTGAGAAACCGCTAGAAGAAATTATATAGACAATAATAAATTGTAGTGACCCTCAAACTATCAAGACTGAATGGCCAGAATGAGATAGACGGATCATCAGTCAGTTGTTCACGAAACCCTCATCAGTGAAAATACTTTGTCGAACCAAGTAGACTTGTGATTTCCAGCAGTACACTCCTGAAAGCTAGAGAGCAAAATATAACATAACGGGGAAAAGAAACGGCCTCAAGGCAAGTTTTCGCTACAGCTTTTTATGGCTCTAAAGTAGTCTTCCCGGTCGATTTCTTCTTTTAAGAGAACGATCTAAGCTGCTTACTACTACTGTACATTTCTAAAGCGAGTGAAGCCCGCATTTTGAAACAACAGGAGCTGGCCACGCATCAGGAAATGTCATTTTGCTAGACCCCAAAACAACAAACTGAACGCGACAAAAATTTGAGGAAAGGTTTTGGAAGACTCTCGAATATCTACTTCCAAGAGACTTGAGATTTGATTTTTCCATATTCAAACGTTTGAAATGGGCTTTGGGATCGTGCCGGTGATGACGATGAGGTGGACGGACTCGAGCGAAACAGGCTGGTGATCGTCCCACTCTTTTTACAATGACGGAATTAAAAAAACTACCAATTTGGAAGGAGAAATTTAATGAAATCTGAACGTGAGATATTTTTCATTATTATTATTTTTTTATTGAATGACTTTTTAATGACTTTGTAATGACTTTCTTACTCATTTTTCGTTAACCAAAAACACCAAATATGTCTTACTTGTTCCTTTGTGGAAAATATTTGGTTTTTCTCTTAATCGGTAGGAGAAATGTTTTTCGAAGAGCGATTAAACCAATAAATTTTAAAAATTATCGTTTACATTTTGGTGAACCACGATTAATATCCTTTTTATTAATTACAAAAACCAATCAGGTTTTTACGTTAAAATATAACATAATAGCTGTTTTAGAGGATTGAATTGTTTACTCTAATGTCAGCAAACTACAAATATCACATCAGTTGAAATTTTCCATCTCCAAAAATAAAATAAACTAAGTAAATCGATTATGTTTTTTCATCTTGTCAAAAGCATGAATAAATTAAAATTAATAAAGCTTTCAAAATTTCTCTGTAAAAGAAATTACTAATACTAATTAATTAATAATAAACATTATTTGCAAGAAGACAGATTGTTATAAACAAACGGGGTATTAAATTTGTCAAAACCCTAAACCCTGATGTTGAGGATATGATTTTACGACCTTTCTGTTTTGCCTTTATTGAGCATAAACAACACATAAATTGCGGGATTATTTTAAAATATAAGGCTTGACACGTAAATACTAATTCATTTACCAAGATACATGTTGTATTATAAAACCACCATTGATACAATAATTATTGTTGTTCTTCGATAAAACTTGATTTTTTTTATTGTACTTAATCATTTGTGATTTGGGATTATGTGAGGTAGCTGCTCTTTATTTATTTATATTGATGCTGGAATGTGGTTATCTCCCTACAAATAACTATTTGAGTAATAATTCCAGCATTCTAATCTGACAGCAACTCTGAAATCACGCTTAACTAATTTATTAAAATAACTATTAAAGTTCCAATTTTAGTGGATGAGGAATAAGTATTGTAGATATTTTCGAGAAAGAAAACGCGGTTCCGTACGTTCATTTTGGTGAAGAGCAGGCCGACGCAAAACTCACTTCACTATTGGAAAGGCGTCGCGGTGTAGCCAAGTCGCAATTTCCGCCAAATGACAGAGAATGACAAGAACAAAGAGGAATTCGTATAATTGATTACTCCAGGACACAAAACCACCTGGTTTATCGTTAACCATGGTTACACCGGCAAAAAGTCTTCTTAAGATCTGATAGCCAAGCAGCTATTATGCTGTCAATGTGCCATAAATTATTCCGAAAGTCTCGTTTTTCTCTCTTTCTTTTCAAATAATATGGTAAATTAGACCAAATCCTGGTAAAATTAAAATATATAATTCAGGATGATCCAAAATTTAAAATAATAATAATAATAATAATAATAATGCGAAAAGTACAGTACTACAGTAAGATAAAACATAAATTGAGAAAAAAATTTAAGGATAAATAAGTGTTGATATAGCATTAGCATGTAAAAAAATCACATCAAAATTAGTAAGTGAATGCATTCATAATCTCCAAAACCTGGGGAAACACAACAACATGATTCTTGGGTGCCAGGGCACAGAGCAATTTTGGGTAACCAACAAGCTACACAC